AACATCACTAATCACCAGGGAAATGCAAACCAAAACCACCAGGAGGTATCACTTCCTACCTGTCAGAATGGCTAATGTCAAACCCTCACGCACTATTGGTGGAAATGTAAAGTGACGCAACCCCTATGGAAAACACTGTGGAGTTGCCTCAAAAAATTAAAAATACAAACACCATACAATCCAGCAGTTCCACTACTGGGTATTTACCCAAAGAAAATGAAAAGACTAATTTGAACACGTAGAGACACCCCTATGTTCCCTACAGCATTATATACAACAGCCAAGATATGGAATCAGCCTAAGTGTCCATCAACAGATGAATGGCTAATGAAGTCATAGTATGGAATACTATGTAGCCATAAAAAAGAGTGAAAATCTTGCCATTTGCAACAACATGGAAGGACCCAGAGGGTATAATGCTAAGTGAAATAAGTCATACAGAAAAAGACAAATACTGTATGATCTCACTTACATGTGGAATCCAGAAAACAAAACAGGGGCGCCTCGGTGGCTCAGTCGGTTAAGCATCCAACTTCGGCTCAGGTCATGATTTCATGCTTTCATGAGTTCAAGGCCTGCGTTGGGCTCTGTGCTCATGGAGCAGAGCCTGCTTGGGATTCTCTCTCCCTCCCTCCCTCTCTGCCCCTCCTTCACTCGTGCTGTCTCTGTCTCTCTCAAAAAAATAAAAAATAGGGGCGCCTGGGTGGCTCAGTTGGTTAAGCATCTGACTTCAGCTCAGGTCATGCTCTCACAGTCGGTGAGTTTAAGCCCGAATCAGACTTTGTGCTGACAGCTCAGAGCCTGGAGCCTGCTTCAGATTCTGTGTCTCCCTCTCTCTCTGCCCCTCCCCTGCTCACGCTGTCTCTCTCTCTTAAAAATAAACAAACATTAAAAAAAATTTTGTTAATGAAAAAGTGTATAAATTGGACTTTATCAAAATAAAAGACACAGCTAAGACACTCTCTCAAAAATTAAAAAAAAATAAAAAAACAAAAAACAAAACAAATGAACAAATAAAACAGAAAGAGATTCATAAACACAGAGAACAAACTGGTAGTTGCCAGAGGGGAGGGGCATCAGGGGATGGGCAAAATAGGTGAAGGGGATTAAGAAGTACAAATTGAACTGCAATAAAGTACGGATATGAAGTATACAGTGATATAAAGTATAGTGTAGGGAACAGAGTCAATAATATTATAATAATTTTGAATGGTGATGGACAGTAACTAACCACATTTATGGTGGTCAGCATTTTGTAATGCATATAAGTATTGAATGGCCATGTTGTACACCTGAAAGTAATAGAATATTATATTATGTATATCAAGTAGCCTTCAATTAAAAAAGCCCTCTAGCTAAATTCACCAAAAAAAAAAAAAAAAAAAGACACAAAATATCAGTATCATTTCTATAGATCCTACAGATATTAAAAGGATTATAAGAGAACGTTGTGGCCAACTCTATACCAATAAATTCAACAACTTGGACTTTATAGGTGGCAAATTTCTGAAAGACACTTTACCAAAACAGACACAGAAAGAACTAGAAAATCTGAACAGTCCCAAATTTCCTAAAGAAATTACATTTTCCATTAAAAATTTACAATATGTATATTTCTATAATTTTAAAATTTCTAAATTTTATATAAAGACGCAAACAACCTAAAGAGTCAAAGCAGGGGCGCCTGGGTGGCGCAGTCGGTTGGGCGTCGGACTTCAGCTCAGGTCACGATCTCGCGGTCCGGGAGTTCGAGCCCCGCGTCAGGCTCTGGGCTGATGGCTCGGAGCCTGGAGGCTGTTTCCGATTC